TCAGGCTGCAGACTTCCACACTCTGCTTGCTTCTTTTGATCTCAAGCGAGTATTAACTACGGCTACTCACAAATCAGGCAACCAACTGGACCTTATTTACACACGACACTGCTCCACTGATCATGTGCTCGTTACTCCACTACACACCTCGGATCACTTCCTCCTCACTCTTAACCTCAACATGGTTCCTGACACAACACAAACCCCTACATATGTCATCCTACAGTTACATCCTACGTAACCTACACTCACTCTCACCCTCCCGGCTATTTGCTATGGTTTCATCTTCGCTTCCTTCCCCTAACAGTGCTACTGATACGTTCTGCTCCAGATATCTTGTTTAGACACTGTCTGTCCCTTGTCTTCCAGGCCAGCCCTTCCAGGCCAGCTCGTACCACCTCTTCTGCCCCTTGGCTATCTGATGTTCTCCATGAGTATCGTTCTAAGCTCAGAACTGCAGAAAGAGTATGACGCAAATCACAAAATACTACTGACCTTAATGTATATCGATCACTCCTCTCTTCATTCTCTGCTAATGCCTCCACTGCTAAAAGGACATACTATCACAACAAAATGAACAATTCGCCTAACTCAATAAACAAAATATTATTGAACAAAAATATATTGCATTGATTTTCAAAAAAATAAAATAAAATAATAATAGGCATCAGTGACTTTTAAGATCGCAAAAGTGACCCAAAAATGAGAAGCTCAGTTTAATTAATTTTAATGGTGTAAAAATAGCTCATAAAAATGGAATAGATTTTATTTATTTTACTTTTATTATTAGATATTACGTATAAAATCTCCTCAAAATTATAAAAGAATACATATATCTCAAGGCTCAAGTCACTGTTTTAAGTGTGACCAAAAATTTAGAGGCTGAAAGCGTTAATAATGTTTGTCAACATTTGTTTCAGTGTCACAAGAAGAATGATGATGATGAAGTAATTTTATTCTGATTTCTATTACACTAAAATGACATGAACTGCTGAAAATAAAGCTGAGAAATATGAGTGTAAATATGACATATTTCACACAAACACTAGTATATGTGTCAGTATGTGTGTGTGATTAGTGTTGAGCTGACAGAAACACAGAGAGTCTCTGAAACATCTTCATCCTGATGATCTGAAACAGGAAACTGATATTCAACTTCCTGAAGCTGAGATTCTCTGGAGTTCAGATTAAAACACACTTTCACATCATTACACACTCACTGTGTGTGTGTGAGTGTGTGTGAGTGTGTGTGTGTGAGAGTTTAATGTTTAATGTGACACAGAGACACAGAAGAGTTCGGATAAACTGTAAATCCAGCGTGTAGAGGTTGAGTGAATGTGTGTGTGAATGTGTGTAAGTGTGTGAGTGTGTGTGTGTCAGAGACGCTGTAGAAGGACAGAGAGCCGCTGGACTCGTCCAGAAACACTGCTACTCTCTTACAGGAGTCTGAAGCAGCAGAGATCTCAGTGGAGTTATTATTGTGATGGACAGTGAATCTGTGATCAGAGCAGAAAAGACTCCAGGAGTTCACATTACCTCCAAACCAACAGTCTTTACTCCCTCCTTTCCTCTTGATTTCTTTATAAGCCACTGATATGTGAACATCTCCACTCCATTCAGTCTCCCAGTAACAGCGTCCAGTCAGACTCTCTGAACACAGAACCTGAGGCACATCAAATCTGTCCGGATGATCAGGATATAGCTGCTCCTCAGAGACACGCGTCACCTTTCTGTTCTCCTCAGACAGAACGAGGTGTTTGCTTGCTGTGTTTGGATCCAGTGTGAGATCACAGGCGTCTGAACACAACACACACATTACAACACACACATTTACAACTAAACTACAAACAAGAAAACTCTGTCTGATTGAGGACTTACATCTTTGAGGTCCTGCTGTGATCCTGAACTCTCCTCCATGATCCACACTAGAAACACACACACACACACACACACACACACACAGAGACAAACACACACACACACACACACGTGATATTTCACTATAAAAGCGTCCTCATAAATACACTTATACACACACGGTTATATATTGTGTTTAATGAAGTGTGTGTTGTTTTGTATCTGCTGTGTTTCTGAATATGTCTGTATCCAGGAGAAGACGTGGTCTACAATCAACAGAGATCTGATCCTGATTGGTTCAGTCCTGTCTCTGGTTACAGTTATAAAGACCACTTCAAACCAATGAGTGTCATTTTGTTCAGCTGTCTTGTTCTCTTGTGATTGTGTCTTCTTTTGAGAAACTCGCTGTTAGTCCTACTATACGATTCTTAGATTTGAATTTGGATTTGTTTGCCTTCAATTGCAAAATTTGTGTAAATATTAAGGAAGTAGGGAGTGTGACAGCATTTCTTTTGTACATATCGTTCTGTTTTGGGGTTACAGGAGTTACGGAAGTATCACTGTATCTTCTTTTGATGTGTTTTTCTTTCGTTTAGGTCATTCAGAGGGTTTCAGTTGAGCTATTTGTGTCTGTTATTTTGGCCTGGTCTATTCCTGAAGTCGATCCCTTCATTTGTGGATTTCTTTGTTGTGTTATGAATAGATCTGTTGTCTGTTTGGCATTGACTCATGAGTGAGCTTCCTCTGTTTATGTTCTGCACAGATGAATTGTACAGGTTTGTCTGCTCATAAAGCACATATGCCAGATCTCTCTCACACACACCTGTATAACCGATGACAGACGACGAGGTGTTTGAGAAAATGTTTGTAAACAGTTATTATTTTTGCACATTTGTTCAGTGACACTAGAGATGCAGAAACGACACACTGTAGCTTTACAGGGTTTTTATTATTATTTTAAAGATGCTAGGAGTTGAGTTTCTCAATACTTGGGTCACTTTTTCAAAACTCTTCACACAGTTCTTCTTACCCTCTTTCACCTTGACACAGCAGTCAATTCCAGATTCAGAATGCACTAAAACTACCAAAACTCTTCACACACACGTCTCAAATCAAGTCCAAAACACCAGCAAAGCTTGTAACCCAACAAACACACTTTGTCACTCATAAAGTGTGTGCTGTGTCTGAGATGGTTTAAGTGCACACACCTGAAACACACACACATAAAGCTGCTTCACTCAGTGTGTGAGTCCTGAACTCAGCTCTTGTGTGTGTGTGTGCGCTCAAATACACTTATGTATCCAAATGCCCGTCTTTGCTAGTATCCTCATAAACAGTCCTTTATGTCTTCTTGTTTATATTTTTTTATATTGAAATTGATGACAAAAATTCTGATATAAAAAACTAAAGCAAAATAACTATAGCTATATTAAATAACTACATTGATAGTTAATGATATATGTGACCCTGGAGCACAAAAGCAGTCTTAAGTCGCTGGGGTATATTTGTAGCAATAGCCAACAATACATTGTATGGGTCAAAATTATTGATTTTTCTTTTATGCCAAAAATCATTAGGATATTAAGTAAAGATCATGTTCCATGAAGATATTTTGTACATTTCCTACTATAAATATATCAAAACTTAATTTTTGATTAGTAATATGCATTGCTAAGAACTTCATTTGGACAACTTTAAAGGCGATTTTCTCAATATTTTGATTTTTTTTGCACCCTCAGATTCCAGATTTTCAAATAGTTGTATCTCGGCCAAATATTCCAAAAAATTACGTTTTTGAAACACACACACATGAAGCTGCTTCACTCAGTGTGTGAGTCCTGAACTCAGCTCTTGTGTGTGTGTGCGCTCAAATACACTTATGTATCCAAATGCCCGTCTTTGCTAGTATCCTCATAAACAGTCCTTTATGTCTTCTTGTCTATATTTTTTTATATTGAAATTGATGACAAAAATTCTGATATAAAAAACTAAAGCAAAATAACTATAGCTATATTAAATAACTACATTGATAGTTAATGATATATGTGACCCTGGAGCACAAAAGCAGTCTTAAGTCGCTGGGGTATATTTGTAGCAATAGCCAACAATACATTGTATGGGTCAAAATTATTGATTTTTCTTTTATGCCAAAAATCATTAGGATATTAAGTAAAGATCATGTTCCATGAAGATATTTTGTACATTTCCTACTATAAATATATCAAAACTTAATTTTTGATTAGTAATATGCATTGCTAAGAACTTCATTTGGACAACTTTAAAGGCGATTTTCTCAATATTTTGATTTTTTTTGCACCCTCAGATTCCAGATTTTCAAATAGTTGTATCTCGGCCAAATATTCCAAAAAATTACGTTTTATATGACTCGCAGTTTTTTTCAACTGCTTACACACAAAATCTTTACTTGTCACAATTTCTGAAAGCTGACACTCAAACACCAGAAGCACACACCAAATCTGCAAAACCATACGCTATTTCTCAGCCTTTGACTCAGTTTTCAATTTCATAAAACACTTTTTAGCAAAACACAACACAATTCTCTATGTAACTCACAAACATCTAACAGGAATTAATATTATGGCAAAGGTGTTTGCAAATGTTTGCTTTTGAGATGTGTTTGTGATATTTTGAATGCAGTGCTTCATTTTGCAAGAGATGTGAAGCATTTAGCATTTTGTGTGTGCAATTATTGGATTTGTGTGTAAAGTTATGAAAAAATGAGGCAAAGTTTTGAAAATGTTGAATACAACTGTAATACTGCACACAAAAATGTATTTAAATTGATTTCCAGGTCATTTTTGGCCTATTTAAAGGGCATTTTCCCTAACCGTATTAAATGCATGCATCATCTTTCATATTAAATTATTACATTTTGTTAATAATTTCACTTAATATAATAAGACAATATAGGGCTGTTTTTTTATTATAATTTTTTTAAATACACAAATATGAAATGTTTTTAAAAAATGCAAAGTTAAGCTAGTATGAAAGTTAGCCGCCAGTAGGTGGCAGCACGTGACTGTCTTAATGTCTTAATTAGCCTTCAAACGATTCGTTCAGATGGCTGATTCAGTCAAGAACGAAGCAAGTGCGTGCCCTGCATCCCAATATCCCAATGACACATCCTAAATTCTGTGAAATTACTATTTAGGGCAGATAGGGTGCACATTGGGACGCAGGGCCTGTTGTTATGAATAGACCACTGAATCATTGACTCAAATGATTAAAAATTCAAAAACGCGAATAATTCAGCACCGAAAAACCGCTGTGTGTTGCTCAGATGCGCGACTGTTCTGCTGTGATCTTTGTATGGAACTATTTTCATTAACCAAATCGAGCAAAAACAGTCAATGTTAGCAAGTTATTAAATATTTGACTCATTCATTAAAATCACTGAATCATTAACAAATGAAAGTGGACTTAAAAGAAATTATTCATTCACGTAAGCCTATATTTGTTTACAAACAATGATTCATTACTCAATGAAACACCACTAATTATTATATCTTTATAATTATACTTAATATATAGACTACAGTATTAACGACTTTAAATTTACTGTTGTAATTAATACAGAGATAGGCGTTTGGGCAAATAGCACTAATGACTCGTTTGGGACTTGAAGCTTAAAGTTGAGGACTTGCAACTCGACTTGGACTTGCTCGGTTTGACTCGGGACTTGACTTGGGACTTGTCGGTCTTGAAACTTACAGATTAAGGGGCGGTAATATTATAATGAGATCCCTTTGCCACGTCACCAAGGGAGCGAAATCAGACGCGCTCATTTTCTCAGATGCTTGCAGAAAAAGGCTTACCAAAACAAAGTTACTGGGTTCATCTTTTTCACGTTTCCTTGGTTGGTAGATGTACCGGGGACCTGATTATAGCACTTAACACCTGGAAAAGTCAGATTTTCTAAATATGTCACCTTTAAAGGGCACTTATTATGCCCCTTTTTGCAAGATGTAATATAAGTCTCAGGTATCCCGAGAATGAGTCTGTGAAGTTTCAGCTCAAAATGCCCCACAGATCATGTATTATATCATTTTGAATATGCCTATTTTGAGTGGAAGCAGAAACAGGCTGTTTTTGTGCATGTCTCTTTAAATGCAAATTAGCTGCTGCTCCCCGCCCCCTTTTCCAGAATAGAGTTGTACCTTTAAAGCTCGTACCTCAGATATTCTGCCAAAAACACCTGTTTGGTTTTGATTATCATGTCTATCGCGCTGAAATTATGCGTTTTAAATCCATATCAGTTTATACTTGTGATACAAAGCGGCTGCCACACGGCATGTGAGTACTAAACGAAGTTCCCTTTCACACACAAGTTTATATTAAAAACACGCATAAGTTACAAAAACACAGTTGGTTATGACTGTGAAGGTAAACAGCTGGGAAAGATATTACATGTTTAAATTAGATGTATTAAGTGACAGCAGTGTAATATTCAGTACATATACTGATGTCTATGCTGATAATATAACCCAAACAATAAAATAAAAGCAGAAAATCACTCACTGCTCTGGACTGAACAACTTTTATAGCTGTAATAAGAAGACATTTCTTACTTGCTTTTAAATGCTCTAGCGTGAAGATAAACATGGCAAATTGTGTTCGGTTCACTCACGGCGGGGTCTCTGCTAATACAGCAGTGTCTGTCGTGGGCAGGGCTTGTAAAATGTGATGTCACACTTTACGGATTCTG